AGGGGTATTTAAACCTAGCCAGCTTAGATGGGGGAAACAAAGGAAACAATCATCGCAACCCTAATAGCGGAAATCCCGATCCGTGAAATGAACAAGGTAGAAATTGCTCTGAGTGAAATATAATTGCGCTGGTTACACATCAGTGATAATGACCACGCGCAACAAGAACAAGAGAAACAAATATCACTCGAATTTTGTAAAGAGTTGAGCCCACCAGGGTTTCAGGATTGATTGTACTTTAATTACCTAAGGAAGGTTATTGTAACTTGTCATGAGAAGTTGTCAAGACTTCTCATCAAGGAAATTGCAGCGATTATCTTCGCTTTAGCAATTTCCTGTTTCTAGGCTTTCTAAAAGGTTTCTTCTGAAACTACCAAAAAAGGGTCTTCTGTAAGTTACTGTATTTCTAAGATAAAAAACTCACCCCGCACAAATAAAGAAAAAGGTTCCATCCTTTTGTGAAAGTCAGCAGAAAAAGGAACAACAAGTGAACCGAGTGCGAGACTCAGTGCGACAGTGCCCTATTTCCCGTTGCTGTTTCTTTCAGGAGCCATAAAGGCTTTTATGGAAATGGCAATTGTTATTGCTATCCATCAGGAGGAATCAGGCATGGATCCGACAGATGTTTGGATCAAGAAGAATGAAAAAATCTTCTTCAGTTGGCATCAAGTGCCATTCGTTAATGGATGATCCGTTGGGCCTGAAATTTTGGCGGTTAACTTTGGTGAGCATTGTTAGCTTAGTCTATTTTTTTTCAAATTTTTCTGATCGTAACTTTTTGATTTTTGTCTTGGACGCAAATGCGTCGTTAACGACTTCCTGTCTCCAAAAGTCGACAAAAGTTGATGGGTCTCCTGGAGCTGGTGGCCTCAAACATTGTTTTGCGAATCGTTTGGTTGCTGAGTGACTTTGTGCTGCTAGGAATCTTCAACTTCTTCAAGAGAAGACTTCAACAAGTAAAAAGTGAGTTTCCAAAAAAAAAAAATTTCCTTTCAGAAATAACAATTTTTGAAATTTTTACAAATGGCGTTCCTGAGCATGCTGGTGCTGCTGATCGTCGGTGTTGTGGCTGCTGGGGCAGACTGTGGTCCAGAAGATGGCGTCTTCAAGTGCCGGGACGTTTGCGGAGAGGAGGTGCGGGACGCCGGCGGCTACGGACGTTGGGTGACATTTGTTGGGTCGACGCTGTTTTTGGACTGCGTTTGCCCGGCTGATCTCAAGGTGAGTTTTTCGACATTGTTTGTTGGGATGGAAATGACAGCTTTCCTGTCTCTGCAGGAGGTGAAGCTGGTGTCGCCAACTGTCTGCGTCGGGCGTTGAGTCAACATGGATCGTGTCGTCACGCCTTGGAGGTGGTGCGAGGAGGTTGTGCCACCCGAACCAGAGATCTCGACGGCGGCAGTTCCGCCGGTGGTTGGTGAGTTTTGTTTTGTCAGCTTTTCCACACAAACATAATCATTTCAAAACTTAACTCACATAACATGTTCACAACGACATAACACGTAACCAACACCTGTACCCTGATTACAAAAAAAAAATTTTTCCTTCACCAGTTTTAATAAAATTTTGTATGTACAGATGAGCCTCGCCCGGTGGCGCCGACGGCCAACCTGGCGGTCGTCCACGTGCCGGCGAGCAAAACGCTGTTCGTGGTTCGGGCGCCGCCCTCGACGCAGCAAAGCGTCGTAGTGGCCCAAGAGGTGCCACACGTCATCAAGGCACCGTTGTCAACGCCAGAAGTGACGGTCAACATCAAACATGGTGTTGCGCACGTCGAGGCGGACGTGGACCCTTGGACGGCAATGGTCCTGGTTTTTATGGGCCTTGGTGGGGCAGGAGCCACTTCTTTGGCTGTATTTTTGGTTTGGCTCGTGAAGTTCATCAGGAACAAGGTTAGCCGATTTTTTTCTTTAATAAAAACAATGATTAACAATGCTTTTTGCTTTTATGCTTGCTTTGCTTCTTTTTGTGCATGCAATTCAAAAATAGAGAAAGAAAAGAATTTTGAAACTTGATAAGGCTAAAGTTAAAGAATGCATGGTAGGATCTATGCCCAATATATTTTTTAATGGACTAGATTATGATGATGAAGAATTTGAAGTTTTCTCTCAGAACTATGCAGATATCAGGGCTAGATCCCCAAGAGTTTCAACATTTAGACAAGGTAAACAAATAGCATGTAAATACAAAACAGCGCATGCAATAATTTTTGATGCTTTGCTTGGGGCCTTTTCTTTTGTCTTTTTTGTACAGTCATCGTACATGCGGGAACTGGTGCGGATGCTGACACCGGAGGATCAGCAGGATCCGGAAGCCCAACCAGTGGTAGATCTGCTGGGGCTGGAACAGGCGGATAAACCCGTCGAAGAGAAGAAGGAGGAAGAGCTGGTACTTGAGGACAATAATCCTTTTAAGGAAATGTTGAACGCGTAAAAGTTAAAAAAACACGTCAAAGAGAGTGCCATTTTTTGTACACTTGTTTTTATATGGGTCAAGGCAATAGAGAAATTGTAAAAAGAATTTCTGGCCTCTGATTCTCTTTTTTGTTTGTCTTTTCCAGCCGAATTCCTTTTCAGAAAGTGATCAGCGAATGGATAAGATTCCTGTGGAGGAGTCCATCTCTAATCTAGGATAAATCGCAGGTTTAGGAGTAGGAGATTGAATAAACCTCACAGATGCTTGAGCATCATCAGTTCTCCTGGAAGGAGAGGATCTCCTAATCCGTAAAACATAGCGAATTTTAGCATAG